TATTTAATTTCTGCTTACCCAGAAGAAAAAATCTAACAAGACATGCGGTCATCACGACTGATATAAACGACAGCCTTCAATTATTTCATTTGAATTTGCAAACCACTTCATTTCATTAAATAGATATATGTCATAGCCAGATACAAAGCCGTTTGTTTGTCATGGACTGATCAACACTGTACGGTCAATCGATCGCCTTGGAATGATTAGCAACAACACTGGTGATTATCGCAGCGTCTATGAAAAATAGTCTGCCATAATCACCCAAGAAAGAGAAAGCAAACAAAACAAGTACAACAAAAATGTAAATAAGTTAAATTGATCCTTGTTCGCTTAATTTAGCTCGCGTAAATATTGAACATGCAGACCACTTAAAAAACCTTAGAAAAAATAGTGATTAACGACTACGATATTGATCATGAACTGAACCAACGGAATAGTCTAGCATCAACGAATTTCGCCAAGTTGTACAGAAAGGTAGAGAAGAAGGTAATCGTGTTGAAAGCAGTGGTATTCGAAAAATGCAACAACTGGAAATAAGGGAAACCCGCTTTTCACACCGTTCAATAATGCTGTCTTCGATGCAAGCCACTAGGCGATTGTACTACCAGGTGACTAATGACGAACGATGAAGAACGTCAGTTGGAGAATAATAACAACTTAGAGACCGGTGCCTTGCATGTTCGATAAAGCGGTAGGAAGCGAATGGAAATGTGTTTAATACCTCCCTGGTGTGAATACTGACCAATGGCAGCAAACGCACTGCAAGACAATGCAATAACTTAAAACACCGTCTTGAAGAAGAGGAATATGGCCTTCGCTGCAAATGCGAATGTTGCTTAGTAGTAATGTGAAGTATGATTTCAATCAACAATCATCATAAATCTGAGCTACTGTAACCTCACTAACCTTATATAATGATGCGACAACAAATAAACGCCTGGAAGGATTTGCCTACTAACCATTACTTCTAATGAGAAAGAATTTTGCCTACTGTAGAAGGATTTAGCTTTACTATCCTTTGCAAGCAGCAAAGAAAACGATTGCGCATCAACTGTGCGTTAAGAAATAATGCTGCCTACGATACTGTCATAGCAGAACTCTTAAAAAATAATGGTCGTGCTATTCGATACAAACCTAATGGTTGCAACGACCCTAACTCACATGATAACTGATACAAACAGATTACTTATACTAAAATCTGGGCAAATTAAAAATTAAATTAACTTTAAGTTGCAACCAAAATTGCCGATAATCAAAAGCTATGTTTACCTATGATCTTGATCTTGTTGTTTTTGTCAAAGAGAAGGTTCTCGGGTTTGACGTCTCTGTGAACAATACCATTGTAATGGCAGTAGAGAACGGCGGACACGATCTGACGAAAATAACGACGGGCTTCCTTTTCCGAAAAACGAACATGTTTCAACATGTGTTCTACAAAGCGAGTTAAACGCAAACTAACAGGCAAAATATAACAGTTTATTTACCGTAGAGTTCTCCACCGCCCGCGTATTCGGTCACTAGATAAATTCGGCCCTCGAATTCGATAACCTGTATATGCAAACATAAACTATGGTATTACAGCAGAACACAAAAATTAAACCAAGCAGGACTACAGTTGACTAGCAGGCATTTGAAATCGGTCATTGCTGAGTTTTTCGTATTTAAAATCACAAAACAATAGGCAAAAGATACGATTAAACAACAGAATAGAAACTACACTGGGTAATCAATCAGCATGATGTGATATTAGTTTTTCAACACATTTAACAATGAAATATAAAAACAACGACTTCAAGATTGTGAATCGATTACGTAAATTAAAATTTTTATCCTGATTTCGACTGGTACGTGGTACTGCTTTACAGTTGACAACAGATTTACAGCCAACGACAACAGCTGTCAGCAGGCAGATAGTCAGACAGAATGCCCACCTCTTCCACTACAGCAAATTATTTAGTTTGCAACTTCCGCTTTAATCAAACGACGTGCAGGCAAAATTCTACCTTCAGCACGACGCTTCTCTCAGCTAACAGCCTAACACCATGTCAAAAATTTGCCTTAATCACACAAGCAGATGTGGCTAATCGATTTCCCGGGCTTTGTCTACAATCACTTAGATGCTTCTGAAAATCTCATACGCGTTTGTTAAAATTCAATTCCGTGTGATCAACCGCGACATCGGTTTCCATCATTCTGGACATATATCCCAAACTTACTGATAGAAGAGTGAGGGAGGTAGACCATAAAACTGTTCTTACGGTTGGTCTGAACCATAAGTTAGGTGGCTTGCTTGAGCAAGGTTTGAACAAAGCGTGTCCAATCATCTGCCCCCGTACGCCAAACATCGAAGCAGATTATATGAACTACTGAAATTACTGAGTCATTAATGAACTTCAATGCTTTTCAACTTCTCTGCAATCCTAACAGGAAGCAGAGCTTTATCAGGTTTAGCATCTAATAGCATATAATGTCCCTGAATCATGCAGCAGTGCTCCCAGATATTCTGGGAGTGTAACTACAAGCTGTGGGGATTCCCTGCAGGACATATCGCAGTAATATTCTTACCTACGGGATACATGGATGTGAGAACTGGCCCATTAGTCGAAAACAGTTAGAAACTAGAATCCTTCGACCACATACTTACGAAACATCGCACAGATATGATTCATCCAAAATACGTGAAACGCCACAAGCCCTGTTGTTTGCGACACCATTCAGGTCTCTATTATTATATCAGTGAATTTGTTGGCTGAGTGCCGAGGTCTGCTAGACAATATATATTACTCATCAAGCAGAACGCCACCTCGATCCCTGCCAGGCACCAGAATAGAAGCCAACAAGTTAAAACCTGAGGAAGGCTGGAGGGAAACCTTTAAAGGAGGTGTTTTTTCAGTTAACATTTAGCAGCATTGTCATATTGGTAGTTTAAGAATTATTTTTTATCCTTTTTGGGTTTAGCGATTGGTTGCGCAGGATTCAAGAACTCTTCGAAATTCCTTTAGAAATCCCTCTGATCTTTCATCAGATCAAACAGTTCGTTCAAAATCCATAATTAAGTACACAGATATTTAACGGTGATGGCCATTTCAGCTGTGTCTAACGTTATCATTTGCAGATATGCTCACGCCAGATGAGCGTTTTCTGTCTATGACAAAGGTTGCTCGATCGGTTCATAACGCACATGCCATAATGATGGTTCAAATTTCCAGATCGAATCGGCTCAGTCATGTTGCCTTGCGGAGGCAGTGAAGCCATATCCTGAATTTTGCTCTGAGCAGCAGTTGCATGGTTTCTGCAGCTCGAACCATTGCATTACGGAATAACAAACACCAACCTATCTAAAACCTGAAACAGTGAGAACGGAATTTTTTCATACAGCCTCCAGGCACGCGATCAATCATTATACAGCAGTAGGCTCTCACGAAAACAATCTTACTTTCTGGATCAAAAAATGCTACTGTCAGAAGTATGCCGAATAACAATTCCGCAATAGGTTGCATGATGTCTATCCGTATCATTGCCTTCCCAGCCAATATCAGACTTATCGAGTGATGTGCCGACAAGGACTCCGTTTGAAGAGTACCAGCCCGTTGGTGCATGATCTTATTAAAGCAGCCCCAAAAACAACATTCAGTGTTTCAGCACCTCGTCATTGGTTATGGGTCGCAATCCAGAATATTCGCTCGTTATCCTAATGACAGCAAGAAACAATAAAACCGATATAAATAATTTTTGTTTCGTCAGGGAACGTTCGTGTGTGCTTTTTCGATGTCTCAATGATGTCATTGGAAAAACATGGCCGATACTGCCAACCGATTGCAGATGCAAAAGTTTCTAAATTTCTTACCCGCATTTTTCGAATGAAACAGCATATACGGGCCAAAGCCCAATTATCGTCAGAGATGCTCAACAACCGAACTTTACATGAAATTTGTTAAACGCAAGTATAAAGTTAAGTTGAGTTTAAGAGCCATGCATGTGAGGTTTTTCAACAGGCGCTAACAACTGACGATGGTTTGGAGCAAAAACGTGTGCTCTTGGCCTATGCAACTGCTTAAGCAGTTTTTTTGATAACAGGCTATTAGCTGAGAACGCAATCTGTAATTTCAGTCTAAATGTACATTCTCGAAGAGCCAGAAACCACCGAATGGTGCTAGTTAATTCGTTCAAACTAAAATAGTTTTAATCTAATAATGACCTAGTGATAAAATTCTGTCTTACTTTTGATTTAATGGTTTACTGCATTGAAGATGATGGTCGCAGTGAAATTTTTCTTCTGCGGAAAACTGCTTTATGAGATATTCGGTTAAATAAGTAACTAGATGCCTGTCATGTGCTGAAGATAACTTAGGTAAATAAGCTTGGATTTTAATGTACATAAAAGCAAAAATTCACGCAAAACTAAAGAACGGGTTAGGAAAAACGGTTAAGCGGAGTAAATGAGGCGCAAAATCAGTAGTTTAACTGATTCTTCTGCTGACACCATCTGCTGAAATGTTATTTCTAGCTGGGGTCTCAAACCCTGACCATTACCAGTACCTGGCAATAATAATGAAGATGACGAGAATCACGCGTATGAATTTGTAGTTATTTGCATATTTTAATGGTTATCTTCCACAATCTATTCGATGCTTTAGTTCTTCGTCATACAATATCTTCATCACCGCGCCGAACGGCGGGAAGCGAGTAAGGAATGAGAACACAGAAATGCATACTCCGATGTCGCTACGATAGCTCTAAAGCTCTGCAATGAAACCAAACTTGACTGACCAGTAAGTTACTGATAATTCATCTTAACACAGTTGTTAGTATCTTATCAGTAAGTTCTGTGAAACAGAAGAACTTTATAATTATAAACCCTAACGGAACAATTCTTCAGCATTAATAATTTATAAGTACACGATGAACGTGCGCCACAAATTGCTTCTCTTTGAGCGAACAATTCCGATTCTTGAACAGAAAGAACGGTGGTTCCCAAAAGGACTTAAATGATTAGATCAGAAAACAGAACAGATCTAACATTCTTTGCATGGTTTGCACAGCCAAGAGTTAAAGAATCGACGCGGCGATGCTGTGCAAATATGTCTCTTACAGGGTAAGAATAAATGAAAAGTAGCACAACTGTAATTCATTTCTCTATCGGAGTTTCAGTCTGTAACTCAATAACCTCCTTCAAAATTAACTTCGATTTTTTTTGACTCGTTTCGTTATCGTCATCCATACCGGCTGAGGTTTCGAGCCTTAAGACAAGCAAACGCTTCATTAAAATTGCTGTAAAGCTACTCTGGCGTGAACAAACGCAATTAGACTCATGCCATCCGTCAGAGGATTAGACTATTATTGTCTTTTATGTACCTCTCAGGAGCTCTCATCTTCTGATTACCCATGACACTTGGACTGCCTTCAATAGCATTACTACAAGATACAGTAGGTACGGATACTTCTCACATAAGAGAGAAATCAATGAACAGCTTCTCTATGAGAGAGATGATGAAAGCAGTGCAATAAATCAAGGAATTCTCCATCTACGTTCGCCGCAAAAGAGTAAACGCGATCGCTTGGAAGCGGTCCATCACAGACGACCGACAGTGCAATTAGAAATAAAAGAATATTAGCCCGTTGCTACGCCACACGAAAGGTTAAGTTGCATCTGTACAGCCAGTCTCTTTCTATGATGAAGAGGTAGCGTGACCATTTGGGCGTGTACTTCTTTGGTGGCTCTTTCAGTGATCTTCCCATTCTTTTTTTGCACTGGGGTCAGTCTGACCCGGAAGGTAGCAAGTTCCTGATTATGAGTAGGTAGTATCATTTGAAATTACGCCTAGCGCTGTCGACGATTTTTCATCTTTGTCAGTTTGACAAGTGGATGGTCGCTCTGCGCGACAATATTCCGCATCCCCTATACACAATACCCCGCAGTTAAATGAGAATTTATAAAGCCAGTCGAACAAAATTTGCATACGCATATCCTTATCCCCGAATAAGAGGGATTACATCTGTCATTTTCCATTCGCTTCGAATTATAAAGATTTAGAAAACTGAAACACACGATTCGCTTTTCCTTATCTAGTAACTATACAACTTGACGAACAACTGACAACCCACTGACAAAATATTATTCTAGTTTTTTATCGATTAATGACCTGAAAAGAAACTCGTTAAAAAAGAATTTATCTTAATGGTACGTTTTATCACGGAAAAAACTGTAATGCTTATCAGAAAATTAATAATTTTAAAACGAAAATATATTTGGACAAAACAGTTACGCGCCTTTGGCGAAACGAAACTCACCATTAGAGGCAAAATCGCCCTTGTTCAACGTATATGAGTCGGAGACCACACATCGAGAAGCTGTTGTACTCGAACTGTCGCCGAAGAACAGAGAAGTGAATTACAAGGACTATTCAAAGAGGCTCTATTTTCATTCCAAAGAGGACGACCTGCATGCGAGAAGAATAAGCAAATTTTTTATTAAGAACCATGCATAGCATAAATCTGAGGTATCATTTCAAAGCGACCAAACATCACTAGCAGAACTCTGCTGACTTAGCTGTAAACCATAAATAACGATTAACATAGCAAAAGCAAAACGATCATCTCAATAAGAAATTTTTATTGGTTTTTACTCTGATTAATTAAGAAATGCAAGGTCCCATAAAACCCTGTCGCAGAGTCTAGAAAACTTTCAAAAACTACAAGCAAAGTTGGATTACATAAATCATCCTTCGCAAAAATATTAATAGGAGAAATTTTTTCGTCCTGGATTATTCATAGAAATCAAACCCGAAACCGTGATTAATCTTCAAATCCATACAATTTACGGCAATAACTGATCAAGCTACACCAGACCCAGCTTACCTCATATAGTTTGATGATATGTGGATGTTCTACGAACTTCAGGATTTCGATCTCTCTATCTATCATGCGCCGAGTTTCTGCATCGGCCCGAAATCTGTCAATGATTTTGATAGCAACCTGCAAAGATGACTTTTACAGCTACAATAAGTACAATAATGGCTACCTCTGAGATAATAAAGATTAGCAACTTTTCAATCAATCAATCAATCAAAATCAAAAGAATCTACTGCTTATATTAGCGGAAATAGTAAATAAAACTAGAACCGACCACTATGTCACCAATCACTGATCAAATGGCATAACAATATACACATAATGAACACAATAAAAAAGATTCGTAATAAGACAAGGAAAAAGGAATGAAGAAACAGATTTGGGGATAACATAATAAAAATAAATATCTCAATGCAGGGTTAGCATGAGAAAATCGATTACAGCACTCACATTTTCTTGTTCTTCCTTCTACAGAGTCGAACTCTATGCGGGATGGCAGAGTTATGTGCATGCTTCAGTAATGGTAGAGATGCAGATATATTGGGACTTTGTAAAATGTGACCTTTAAGTGCGTGTTGAAAGATGCTAGTACAGGGCATCGAAAAAGTTGGTTAGAATAGATTCTACAATCTGATCTACGACGAGATTTACGACATTCATATAAGACAATTGACGTGCCCTCTTGAAAACTTACAGGATCAATCGAAATGTTCATTTTGCATATGTAATTAGGTTCTTAGAACCAGGCACTTTATTATTTTCTAGGTTTATAATGAAGTTCGTTCAAAAATACCTGCATCATTGTACTTTGACGACAACGTTTTCGTTTGCACTAAAGTGTAGACTTTCATGTGATGCCAGGAAAGTAGTTTGTGCTAAAAACCGCCTCAATTTTTTGGTTCTGAGCCGAAATGAAGGGGGATGTGGCAACTGCCTAATTCATTATAGGAATGCTTCTCAAAACACAATAAACATTCTTTAGTATCCGTTTGATCTTCAGTTAGACCTTTTGAGCCATTATCTATTTTACTGAAAGACGATGTTATGATTTCTCATCGACTTTCATCTCTGATCTAATATTCGACCAGAGGCCTTGATTGCATTAAACATGATTATAATCAGCACTCATCGACTAGCTTATGTTTATTTTGAGGTTCATGAATGGTAGTTTATCTTCGAATTCCTCCCCCCCCGTTCAGATCGTAGTTTCCGAAAAAGTGACCACCAATGAGCTGTTTTCATACTCTATTCTGCAGCATTGATAATAAATGTAGGATGCGGAAAATCGTAGTTTGACCTTGCACAGGCGATGCGGCCGACACAGATATTATTCTTTTCTTGTCGATTTGGTTCAAGCACTTTCTTCTTCAGTTTCTCAAGGTCCATCGCTGCTTCTGAACTTCCTGTAAAACAGTGTTCATGACGCAGAGGGGGCTGCATTCAACGAAACTTGCAATGCGGTCTCCACATCTATTCCTTTCGCCTTTTCCGTATTTGCTGATAAATACCTGGAGTACATTGTTTTCTCAATCACTGTTTTGAAGTCCCCTTGAAAAATTGTGCACATAGTCTTCTCCATTACGCCTTCCAGTTCTTCACTAAATTGCTCGATCTCCCCACCTACAACCTTGTTGGGTTGAACTGCAGACAAAAATCGTTAATATTGTTCTTCTTTAGTCCTTCTGCAAAAGAACAGTTGCAATACGAGGTGATACAATACCATAGTTCAGTACAAATTATACAATGTTTCCTTTCATTATCAGGAAAACGCGGTCGGACAGAGCTGAGTTGTCGAAAACCTTTCAGAGGAACACTTGGTGTTCATTGTTCCAATGTGCAGCACGAGTGGTAGATTTTTGGATCTCGCATATTCCGATGATGTACGCCTCGATATTCGCCATTTCCATTTCATTTATTTGTCGGTAAATGTGTCTGTCGATACCATTCTCGTTTCATGGCTGATCGCAAAGATCTTAAACACATTCCAGATCCATTTACGAATAACGTTCTGTGGTTTACCGCCTTGTAGAGGACGTTCAGCTTGTCTTGAAAACCTGAATCAACTTTCCTGATTTCCATTTTTCGCGAATCTTCGTTTATAAAGCATTTGTTCTGCAATTCAATCGAGATGCCATACAACAAGAACTATAGCCAAAGTCTCCATAACCTTTATCAAGCTCAAGGCATTCAGAAAAGTGGACCACTCTGTAAGGTTCTGATGCGGAAAAATATCACTGGCGAACAGCGTCACTACCTCAATCTCCGTAACGGGTTCAAATACGATTTCCAAGCCTCGTGCAGCAAAAGAATTTTGCTAGGATTAATTAATAAATCATTTTTCTTTGACCACCTCTGCACAGAAGAATACTTTGTGAAATCATTCACTGAAGTAACTGCATAGAGTACCAAGGTGTCATTGACTCACTCTATGCCTTAATTTGGAGGTGGTTTTACATGCATTAGCATATATTATGAAAAGAAGCAGAGATAAATTTGATTCGTGCAAAATTCCTTAGTTCATTGGTGGAAAAG